GGTTTCTGAGGCAGTATCACTACAGAAGTAGATTGCCCAACCTTCCTTCTGAGGAGTGGCTGGTGGGTTTTATTTGCAATGGGGAGAGACTGAAACCATTCCACTGGTGAACAGCAGCCAGACAAGGATGCCCTTTATCTCCACTTCTATTCAACATTGTATTGGAAGTCCTAGCCAGGGCAATAAGGCAAGAAAGAGAAATCAAAGGCATCTAAATTGGTAAGGAAGAAGTTAAACTATACTTATTTGGAGATGATATGATCCTATATGTAGAAAACCCAAGAGACTTAGCAATAAAACTACTGGAACTTATTGAAAGATCTAGCATAGCAGCAGGATACAAAATCAACACACAAAAATCAGTTAGATTCCTCTACACGAGCAAAGAGGTCTCTGAAAAGGAAATAAAGAAATCAATACCTTTTACAATAACTACCAAAAAGACAAGATATTGGGAATAAATCTTACCAGAAACACAAAAGATCTACACAAAGATGACAACTAAACACTACTTCAAGAAACTGTAAGGGATCTATGTAAATGGAATAACATACCATGTTCATGGATAAGAAGATTGAACACTGTTAAAATGTCAACACTACTGAAAGCAGTGTATACATTCAATGCAATCCTAATCCAGATTCCATAAAAACTTTTAAAGGCATGGAAAAACCAATCACTAATTTTATATGGAAAAGGAAAGTGACCTTGGATAAACAAAACACTGCTGAAGAAGAAGAACAAAGTAGGAAGTATCACACTCCCAGATCTCAAAACCTACTACACAGCCACAGTTGTCTAAACAACCTGGTATTGGTACAAAAACATACAGATAGATCAGTGGAACAGAATTCAGAACCCAGAAATTTATCCACTGACATATAGTCAGCTAATCTTTGACAACAGGCTAACATCCATTCAATGGAGAAGAGATAAGACTCTTTCACAAACAGTGCTGGCAAAACTGGATATCCATTTGCAGAAAAATGAAACAAGATCCATACCTCACACCATACACAAAAAGTAACTCCAGGTGGATCAAAGGCTTAAAACCTAAAACTAAAATGCTCCTCAAGGGAAAAATAAGGGCAAACTTAGTGGTCCTAATTTATGGCATAACTAGACTATCAAGCATAACTCAAGACACCCAAAGAGTAGAAGATTAACTAGTTCATTAGGACCTTCTAAAAATTAAATTTATATGTACATCAAAAGACTTCTCCAAAAGAGTAAAAAGAGAACCTACAGAATGGTAAAAAAATATTTGGTAAAGACATATGGGACGAGTGACTTATCTCTAAAATTTATATAAAACTCTAGTACCTCAACATCAAAAAGACAAAGAATTGAAAAATGTCAGAAATATGAATGGACACTTCACCAAAGAAGATATTCAGGAGCCAACAAACATGAAGAAATGTTCTTGATCATTAGCCATTAAAGAGATGCAAATCAAAACAACCATGAGATACCATCTCACCCCAGCATTAATAATAAAATTCAGCAAGACAAAAAATAACAAATACTGGCAAGGATATGGAGAGACTGGGACTCATACATAGCTGGTGGGACTGTAAAATGATATGACCACTGTGGAAATCTGTATGCCAATACCTTAAAAAGTTGGAAATAGATATATCATTTGATCCAGCCATTTCCTTACTAGGTATATACCCTAAAGAAGTAGGAGGCAGGACAAGAACAGACATATGAACACAAATGTTTGTGACAGCACTAGTCACAATAGCAAAGAGAGGGAAACAACCTAAGTGCCCATCAACTGAGGAATGGATAAACAAACTGCAGTACATACACACAATGGAATACTATGCAACCCTAAAGAACAATGTAGAATGTACAAAACACTGCATAATATGGATGAACTTGGAGGACATTACGCTGAGTGAAATAAGTCATTCACAGAAGGACACATATTGTATTAGTCCACAGTTGTAAAAAGTCAAGGAAAGGTTTATACATAGAAGGAAACTTTCTTTGTTGGATACCAGAGATGGGAGTGGAGGGGAGGCTAAATTCCTTGTTGTTGTCATTAGGTGTTGTTGAGTCATTTCCGACTAATAGCGACCCTATGTAGAAAAGAACATAAATTCCTAGATAGATTGAAAAAAAATATATAGAGAAATTAAAGATTATTAGTATTCACCAGAAGTAGGAGGGAGGGGGAAAGAGGAAGCTTTTGTTTGCAGGGCATTGAGTTTATGATAATGGTGGTGGAATATCTTGGAAATGCACAGCAATAGTGGTAGCACAACATGAAAAATGCCATCATTGTCCCTGAGCTGTAAATAGAGAAGTTGTTATGTGGGCAAATGTCTTGTTGTATATGTTTTCACCACAACAAAAGTAAAAAAAAAAAATCATTTTCAGAACTTGAAAACCAGTAATTCATATATTATCATATGAAATTACTTGAAGAAAAGATGACAGAAAATGTATCTGTTAGCTTTTTATAATTTTACTGACACTTAGAACATGGAAATTCCCAGAATATTTACTAAAATGCATAATTTATTTAGCTTTCTGTTACACTTTGAGAGAAATGTTATAAATATTTTCACAAATCACTAATATCATAAGAATATTGAAAAAAATACGGAGTATGCAAAATATCATTTAAAATATCCCTGGAGAATTCCAGTTATGGGCCTATTTTCATTTTGAGGATATTATCTAAGCAATAATTTGTTTTAATATTTGTCTCTTGTTATGTCTTAAAATTGCATACTTTTTAAAAATGATTTAGAAAATAGTTGTTCTCAAGAAAAGTACTTGTTGAAAATTACTTATGTGATACATACAGTTGGCCCCAGTTCTCCAAACGGTCCAACTGGTCCTTCTTCTCCCTTAAAAGAAAGTCAGAACATATCATCGCATAAAATAAGTACTTAAAATAGAAATTCTACTTATGCTGAAATTTGAAATTCATTCTGAGATGTGCTGACAATCATGCTGTGATTTTAAAAATATATTTTAGAACTATATGACCTCATAAAGTTTTATTATTTTTATGTGGCATCTTATCTCCTTAAGAAAGACATTAATTTAAAACTGGTAGATGACAAAAAATATATTTTGAAAACTGGGAATGGAGAGAAGTGAAAGTGATTATAGTATTACAAAACTAGGATTAGAAATCACTGAAACCATGAATTAAGGGCAATCTTTATTTTCTTGGTCAATATCTCTCTGACACAGAGAGGAACTCAATTACTAAGTTCATAACAGAGAGGAATAAACATATATTGGTATATTAAAAAAAGTACTGATAGAGAACATATTTGCTCTTGGCACATTTTAATATTTCATTTATTTAACAAATATATTTTTGACTCTAAGTTCTGTCTTAAACCCTGAAGATAAAAAGCTAAATCAGATCCTACCCAAGTAGGACTTAATGTCTAGAGTTTCTTCTTGGCTAATTTACAAGTGCAATATTCTTAGAATTAAATCAGCTATAATATCATAAGATATAAAATCTGTCTTATTCTTTTAAGGACTACTAACTTCATGGTTGAAGTAGAGACTGAAGAAGAATATAGAAGAAATAAGAAAAGAATGTTTGTAATTAAAAAACCATGTTCATATTCTAAAAGAAAACTTAAAAAATTACAGAATATTTTTACTCTTATAGACATATACATTTACTTATTTCTTTACTGTTAAGTAAATAGTTGAGATTACAATATCTGAACAATGTATAAAGATCATATACTATGATATGAATTAATATGAATATATGAATTAATGTTTATTGATTAATAAACATTTTGTTCAATTCACAATTTAATTAAAATATAATTTATTTTATCACAAATATAAAATTATTAAAAATAATAAATATAAATTCTAGCACATAGCAAGGATACTCTAGGCTCAGATTCTTCATACATTCCATTGAGATCATTGACACAAATCATTTCACTAATTCAGAACATTGTGAAATGATTCAAAATCTCATTAAGTATCAGTCAATATAAAATGGTAACTTGAAATTCTCTCTGTCAAAAATTTCCCCTACTAAGGCAGTGTTTTCCTTAAGCAAAAATTAAAGTCCCAGAAAAAGTATAAAGGGAAAGTTTGAAATAAGAAAACTGTTGATTGTATATTTACTTCTTCCATACCTGAGTTCCTTTGAGGCCAGGAGGTCCCGGAGGTCCTCTATTTCCAATAAGTCCCTATAAAAGCAATATAAGTACAGATAATAAACATTTTATTTAAATTAACATTTTTATCAAGCAGTATTAATCAGCATTAATTAATAAATGAACTTTCTCTTCTTGTTTTAGGATCACTAGAGACAATGTAGAGGAGGATATGAGCAAGACTTTTTGGTACTCTTCATTTCCCATTCTAAAACCAAACCAAATTCACTGCCATCAAGTTGGTTCTGATTCATAACGACCCCTCCTTGAGTTTCTGAGGCGGTATCTCTACAGAAGTAGATTGCCCAGTCTTCCTTCTGAGGAGTAGCTGGAGGTTTTTAACTGCCAGCCTTCTGGTTAGCAGTCAAATACCTTAGGAACTTATAAAAATGGGATGGAAGGGTAGATTAGCAGAACACGTCAGAATATTCGAAAATTTGGGAAGCACAGGATTTATTTACTTTTTCAAAGTATGTTACTTAATTTTCAAAAAATCTGCTTAGTAGCTAATGTTTCAATCTTTTGAAACCTTTTCAGAAAAAGCACTTCTAAATTTAAAGGAATGTGTTCAATGATTAATCTGGTAATAGTGCAATAAACACAAATTAAAGTGACCACAAAGTGTGAAAACAGATGGAGAGAAGATACAGTGTTTTAACATTTGTTTAAGAGACTCTGAGAGTCTGGAACACATTATTTGTACTAAATGTTCTTCACTTTACATCATATCTATTTCTCTCGTTGGTATAAGCTGATAAAAAGAGAAGGGAATAATGCTAAAGGAAGACATTTTTTAGTAGTTAAGCTAAACTATTGCTTGGCTTTAAGAAGACTTCAGGAGATAGTTTTGGTTTAAAGTTTAAAGACTGCGCATCCAATGAACAGGACCAACTACCTCAGGGCAGTAGTTTCAGGGGTTCATCTACCCTTCATGGCTCCAGAAAGTATAGAGTCCATGAAAATTTGAAATTCTCTTCTGAATTTCCCCCTTTTTAATCAGGATTCTTCTATAGTTTTTTTGATCACAGTGTTCATTAATTGTAGCCAGGCACCATTCAGTTCTTCTGGTCTCATGGCAAAGGAGGCAGTTGTTCATAGAGGCAATTAGTAACACATTGCACATCCCCTCTCATTCCTGACACTGCTTCTTCCACTATTGCTCCAGATAAATAGAGACCACTTGCTGTGCATTAGATGGCTACTTGCAAGTTTTTAAAACTCCAGGCACTATGCAATGTACTAGGAGGTAGAACAGAAGCATTAAAAATGTTACTAGACCAATTAACTGGGTTGTCCCAAGAAACCATGGGACATGGTTTTAAGAACTATCTATATGAGATCAAATTGACAACAGCAACTCCAATGATGAAATAGGAACCTTAGGGGGCAGTGAGTTTATATTTTGGGAAAGGAACAGCTCAGAAAAGGAAGATAAGAACAGTTGAACAACTCGAAGAATGTAATCAATGTCACTGAATTGCACATGTAGAAATTGTGGAATTGTATGGTGTTTTGCTGTCTATCATCTAAACAACAACAACAAAAATAAATACAATTTTAAAAAGAGAGAGGGCAATTTGCAGAAGAAAACGACAGTCTGACTTTGAGTAGGAATTTCACAAATAAAAGAAATATTTTGTTAATCAAAATGCATGTTGTAAAAATTCTTCCTTGAATGAAAACATGTTCAAAGTAACTGTAAAAACAAAAAACATCTGCTAACCAGAAGGCTGGAGGTTCAAACCCACCAGTCACTCCTCAGAAGGAAGATTGGGCAATCTACCTTCAAAGAGATACTGCCTCGGAAACCCAAGGAGTCACTATGAGTCAGATCTGACTTGACGGCAGTGTGTTATTGCAAAAAGCACCCCACAACACCTATTCAACATGGAAACTTTTTCTTATTCACTTTTGCTCTTCTAACTATGGAATGTGCCAGTAAAGTTGTAAGTAAATCTCTTTAAGAATCAGGTTTTTTATTATTCTTTTAATGCCTAACCGTGGTATTTTCAATTGCCTCATATGATATGAAAGCTGATGAGCAGGCAGGAGAGTTACTCTGGTTGCTAGTTTGGCCGCATTCACCAAGTGTCTCCAAGTGGATTCAATAGCAGGTAGGAGCATGGGCACAAATCTCTGGCCACTGATGACACAGAGCAGGTGAGGACTGGATGGGTAGATTTTGGCCACCATCTATATCATCAATCCAGTGGTGCCAGAATGGGTGGTGGAACTCTCCCAATGGGTGGGTAGGTTTGCTGGCTTCCAACTGCTTTGGAAAGATAGGGAAAAGGGGAGGGATGTGGAACCAAAAGTTAAAAAAAAAAAAAAAAAAAAGGCGAGGGAAAGCCTAAAAATAAAGAAAAGAAGAAAAAGATAAATAAACGCACCTAAATGCAGTACAATACTGGGCAAGTATGAGATGCCAACCATGGCTATGGCAGAAATGTGGTGTTTGCTCTGAGGAAATGTGCACTGCTGAATACAGAGGGTCAGGGGTTAGCACCACTGAGAGCAGAGTGGGGATCAGACAACTGCTCTCTCTGCAGGACTGAAAAAAATAAGAGAGAGGAAGAAGAACAAAAAAAGAAAAGAAAAGCAAGGAACGGGGTGAGTGGACAACTGAGAAGAAAGAAGGAAGAAAAAAGACAAAGACAACAAAATTATTTAAAAAAAGAAAAAGAAAAAAGTCAGCATAGTACTGGTGAAGGTGCTAGCTGCCAAACACAGCTCTGTGGGAGCATGTACCTCTGACCAGGGAGGGGTAGGGGTAGGTGTTGCAAAGCATGTGGGCATTTGGGGGAAGGGTACACATTCTGTGGGATCAAGAAAAAAGAAAAGGAAATAGTGCAAGAGAAGAGGATGAAAAAAAGGAAAGAAAAAAAGGGGAGAGAGGGAAGAACTAAGAAGAAAGATTTAAAAAAAAAAACAACAGAATAGGAATGGTAGTGGGGAAGGTTTGACCGGCTATCGAGTAGGTGGGGGATGAAGAGTACAAGCCTCTAGTTGCCGGGAGTTGTACTAGGTAAGGGATGGAAGTCACACCTCTCTGGTTACCGATATGGTTGCTGATGCAGTCCTGGGCAAATAGTATCGGTTACCTGGTTCCTGCTTGCAATAGTTCAAAATGGCTACACTGGGCCTATTGGCAGTTTAGTGTTTCTTGTTCACTGTTTTTCTTCAGTCTCTTCTCTTGGTATTTTATCTACTTCTTTATCCTTGCCTTTGAAGCCCTGGGTTCCAGGATTGTCATCTATAAATGCTTCACTTATTTTCTCTAGTCATTGTTATTCAGGATTTGGATAATGTATATTCCAAGTCTGCCTTCTTGGATCTTGATTAGTGTACAAAGTTTCTAAAAGCACACATTGAACCTTCATGAAAACTAACCACAGAAAAGGCCATAAGTGTTTACCAACAGTACTCAAAACTGAAACCAAAAGCATTGCCATTGAGTCGGTTACAGGTCACAGGAATTCTATAGGACGGAGTAGAACTAACTCCATTGGGTTTACAAGAATGTAAATCTTTGTGGAAGCAGACTGACTTATCTTTCTCCCAGTCTGACTTGTGGGTTCAAACTATCAATCTTTTGCTACTGCACCATCAGTGTTCTTTTACCACCTGTGTTGTTGTTGTAGTTAGGTGCAATTGAGTTGGCTCTGACTCATAGCGACCCTATATACAACAGAAAGAAACACTGCCCAGTCCTGCGCCAGCCTCACAATACTTTGCTATACCTGAGCCTATTGTGGCAGCCACTGTATCAATCCATCTTGTTGAGGGCCTTCCCCTTTTGCGCTGACCCTCCACTTTACCAAGCATGATATTCTTCTCTAGGGAATGGTCCCTTCTGACAACATGACCAAAGTAGATGACATGAAGTCTGGCCATTCTAGCTTCCAAGGAGCATTCTGGCTGCACTTCTTCCAGGACGGATTTGTTAGTTCTCTTGGCAGTTTGTGGTACTTTCAGTATTCTTCACCAATACTGCAACTCAAAAGCATCAACTCTTCTTAGGTCTTCCTTATTCTTGTCCCGCTTTCACATGTATATGAAGCAATTGAAAACACCATGGCTTGGGTTGTTGTTGTTGTTGTTATGTGCCGTCGAGTCGGCCCCGACTCATAGCGACCCCTCCTTGGGTTTCCGAGGCAGTATCACTACGGAAGTAGGATTGCCCAACCTTCCTTCCGAGGAGTGGCTGATGGGTTTGAACCGCCAGCTGTCTGGTTAGCAGGCAAGTGTCTTAGCCACTATGCTACCAGAGCTCCCATGGCTTGGGTTAGACACACCTTATTCTTCAAAGAGACATCTTTGCTCTTCAGCACTTTAAAGAGGTCTTGTGCAGCAGATTTGCCCAGTGCAATATGTCATTTGATTTGTTGACTGCTGCTCCCATTGGTGTTGATTGTGAAAACCAAGTAATATGAAACCTTTAACAACTTCAATCTTCTCTCCATTTATCAGATGCTGCTTATTGGTCAAGTTGTGAGGAGTTTCATTTTCTTTGTGTTGAGGGTAATCCACTGATGACTGCAGTCTTTAATCTTCATTAGTAAGGGCCTCAAGTCATCTTCATTTTAAGCAAGCAAAGTTGTGTCATCTGTGTATCGCAGGTTGTTAATGAGTCTTCCTCCAATCCTGATGCCACACTCTTCTTCACATACTCTCGCTTCTTGGATTATTTGCTCAGCATACAGACTGAATAAGTATTGTGAAAGGATACAACTCTGATGCACTACTTTCCTAATTTTGAACACAGTATCCCCTTGTTCTGTTTGAAAGACTGCCTCCTGGTCTATATGCAGGTTACTCATGAGCACAACTAAGTATTCTGGAATTCCCATTCTTCTCAATGTTATCTGTAATCTATTATGATCCACAGAGTTGAATACCTTAGAATAGTCAATGAAACATAAGTAAACATCTTTCTGGTATTTCTCTCTTTCAGCCAAGATCTATCTGACATCAGCAATGATATCCCTTATTGCACTTCCTCTTCTGAATCCAGCTTGCATTTCTGGAAGTTC